TGTTAAATTCTTATCGTATCGACATGCATAAGTCAAATTTTGAAAAACTTTTCGACAAGTCGGATCGGGTTCAAACTAGACACTTGTAACCAGATTTGATCTCCGTTGCGGTCTCTAATGCGATATTGTGATATTTCATATTATTCAACGTATCTTTTTTACTTTTCATAGGACAGACATGAACAACGTAATTTAAGTCTTTGCTATTGTTTTGTCGAAAATGAAAACGAATGCCGCAAGAAAAATTTCACCGCTTTTCAGGCAGGCACATTTTGTATAAAAGGAAGGAAGAAAAATCCTTTTAATTCACAGTATCCATCACATGCCTCTATGGACTGCATGTACAGGGTACTTACGTGAGCATAAATTGCTCTCGAGTGAATACACAATGTATTTTCCATTCGATAAACAAAAGCATATGCAACGACGCAATTTTCCGACAAATTTCTTGTGTGTTTCTTGTTTTTGTCCTGCAAGAAAATCTTTCTTGCTGTAGCACAAACTTTCGACAAGAACAAGCAAGAAATTTTTTCTTGGATTAGGCCCGCCCGCAAGAACTAATTCGTGCATAAGTACGTTATTCCAGCAAGAAAAGGCAAGAAGCATTTTTCTGGTGTTTGAATTACACCTACAAAAAATATTACATCTCATCAAAGAAGGATACTGAAGAAATAAGGCTGGAAGAAAAAATGTTCAAAATTTAATTCTAAACAAAATGAAATACCCCTAATAGTCCATGGATTTCTGGGAAACGCGTTAATTAGCGAGAAAAACGCTAGTTTTTGTTAATTAGCATTTATCAGTGTGACGAAAGCACCTGGTAAAGTTGGTTTTGCTATCGAAAATGTTAGAAATTAAATTTCACACATTTTGTCTAATGGCACCAACTTCGTACGATGTGATCTTCAATGAGCGGTCGTTGGATTTGTTTTAATTCATGGTGTTACTTTGATTAAAGGTAATTAGAACAAAGAAAAACAGGAGTTCGATCGATAAACAACACCGTATATATTTCTACTTTTTTTGTGTCTTTTTATCTAACAAAGAATAGAACAAAACAATTCCTGGCAGTTTTTATAATTCTTGAGGGCAAAAGACTTATCGTTTATCACTAGTTGTTGCTGGATTTTACTGAGCTTACAAAAACCGTATTCTTGCTGAAAGAAATGACTGTTTTTGCAGATAATCGACAAAATAGGTTTTTCTTGCAACAGCTTAGTTTCTTACTTCAAGAAACAAACACCCAAGAAAATTTACATGTCAATTCGTGTCCCAGGAAATGTCCAAGAGCTTGTTTGGCTTCAAGAACTTCCACTAGGACTAGTACATGGACAAACATTTGAGCACTTCATCTATATAAATCATACACTCCAAGTACATGCTTTATTCACTACAAGTGAATAAACTGTGAATGGCAAAATTTTCTTTTTTACAGTGCCGTACATTGCTGCGACAGGAAGGACACGTTTTATCTTTTTTTTCTCGATCTAGTTTATTATTTAATAACGGTTCTATTAGTTAGCTGTTCACTACAGGTACTTTGTATAAAAAACCTTTCACATCTAACGAATTCTTACCAAAAAAATAAGATTTTTTTCTAAAATTTGATTACTAAAATTGTCGATCCTAAAAATGTCGAGTGAGTTTTATATCCAGATTTTTTTTTCAATAAAAATTCAAATTTTTATTTCTGTATACGGTATAGATCCAAGGTCTCTTCCTTTTCAGATGTAAAAGAAAGAAAACTCTCTATTTGTTGGATGTACGATAGTTTCCATTATAGCTCATCTGTAACTCAACATCATATTGTTCCGAATCAGTTACAAATCCAAAATATCGAGTCAAATGCATGTGATGATCAGCAACCATTTCTTGACAATACAAATAATAACCAATTAGTTGCGGCACATCAACAATCTGATGAAATCAAAACAACAAAACCCAATCAATGGTTTGATATGACACTGTTAAAGGATTATGCCTTTATACTATTCTTAATATCAAACCTTTTAACAAATTTTGGTTTCAATGTACCATACTCTTTTACGGAAGATTTGGCGAAACAACACGGTATACGGGAAGAAAGTAAACATATCACAATGGCTATTGGTATTGGAAGCATTGCAGGACGAGTAGTAATAGGATTTCTGGGCGATATAAAAAAGGTAAAGAAATAATCTGATTTTCTTTGCTTACGCCTTTATTGCTAGGTTAGCCGAACTTGAATTGCCACCTGGCATTTCTTCACTCAGATATTAAAATTCCCCATACAAACTCACTAACCGCGTACTAGCTCTTAGAGAACCACAAGGGCTATGTGGAGGAGCCATATTGTACGTCGTAAAGTACTATCCATTTCAAAATATAAGGCAGTCCATTGTTTGTCTAATAACTTTTGATAACAAAACGCTAGAGAGCTGCGACATCCACTATTCGGAAGTAAATTGATGGGGCCATATGCCGACGGAACAACACCAGCAAAGATACCACCTGCACGTGGTAAGCCTCTTCAGGACATTTTGCAGAAGGTTACTCATCACTGAAAAACTTTCGACTTTTGAATTGTGAGGCGTAAGGTAGATGCACCAGACCGAGATCTTCTGTTCTAAATGTGACTCAGATCTGCATCTTTCAAGGTTGCGAAGACAGAAAGGTTCTCCAACGATCATGCTATCTCGGTCTGCGCAAGTCTGGAGACTTCGAAAAGATTCGAGATATAGGTAATCGACCAAACTTTGATCAATTTCTGACGTAAAAAGAGTGAGATATATCTGTTTCGAGTTTAGGAGTCCGTAGACAAATATTCGGTTTTTCAGAGAAATAACTCTAGCGAACTCTGTTCAATTTTTGTAGAAAAACTAACATTGACACGATGTTTAGGGTACTCGATTACCTATTTCTCAAGTCTTTTCGAAGTCTCCAGACTTGCGCAGACCGACATAGCATGATCGTTGGAGAACCTTTCTGTCTTCGCAACCTTGAAAGATGCAGATCTGAGTCACATTTAGAACAGAAGATCTCGGTCTGGTGCATCTACCTGACGCCTCACAATTCAAAAGTCGAAAGTTTTTCAGTGATGAGTAACCTTCTGCAAAATGTCCTGAAGAGGCTTACCACATGCAGGTGGTATCTTTGCTGGAGTTGTTCCGTCGGCATATGGCCCCATCAATTTACTTCCGAATAGTGGAAGTCGCAGCTCTCTAGCGTTTTGTTATCAAAAGTTATTAGACAAACAATGGACTGCCTTATATTTTGAAATGGATAGTAGTAAGTTTGCTGTTCGGCGCTGGTGATCCGAGACTAAGACATAAGCGACTTAGTTAAGGTTACTATTTGATGTGTGAACACCGAAGTTAGAATGCACAACTTTCCAAGTACGCGACGAACAATATAACTATGCTGAATTGAACAAAACTGAATATTTCTTTCTTTGCTAGGTGAATCGTTTGCTCTTGTATATTTTGACATTAATAATTGCTGGTAGCGCTACTGCATTAGAACCATTATTAGCACTAAAATTCGGTCATCATCTATCTCTTCATATAATATACGCTGTTATATTTGGCTTTTCTACTGGGGGATATATTGGAATCACATCTGTCGTTCTGGTAGATCTGGTTGGCTTAGAAAAGTTCTCCGATGCATTTGGTCTAGTATTAGTAGTTCAAGGTGTGGCGATAGCTTTCGGTCTACCTATCGTTGGTATGTTTTGCCAAGATAAATTGCTCATATTT